CGGCGCTGGGAGGGGGAAGGGGCCGGGGCACCTGGGGCCCCGGTGCCCCGCCGCTCGGCTCTCGCTCCTCAGGGAGTGAGGGGGGATGGTTCTGCACGCCCGGCTGGGAATGGCGAGGCTGCGTCGGGTCTCCGTGAGGAAAATAGCGGACATGGCTGGTTTCTCCGCGGAGTTAACAAAGCGCTTCCACGCTGTCTCCCTTGGTGCTCTGTCAGGTAGCAATGTCCTCATTTTACCAGCCGAATGACGTGACTCACCCAAAGCCTCAAACTAATCAATGGAAAAGCCGGAATTTGAAGCTGTGCTGCCTTCAAAATTCCGGAGGGCTTACCGTTGCATCACATTATCTCCCTAAATCACTAATGGGAGACACACACGCCCTTATCGGTAAGATGCTGCAGGGGTAGCGGGGGCAGTTGAAGATGCCATCCCTTCCTTCAGAGAGTAAGGAATAAAACAAAGATGAAACCCATAAAAGACACACCATGAGAGAAAAATACAGAGTACTGTGGAAGACGAAGGAACTGCTCACTGCCTGCCGGGTATGGGAGAGAAAGGCAGCATGGAGAAGGCCTTTGAGGGACGGGGAAGGAGATGAGGAAGCTTATACAGCGAGAAGGGGTGGCTGGAGAACTTAGGAAGGTGACTTAGTGAGAGTGTTCAGGAAAAAGCAAACGGGAAGACCCTAGGCCCTACGGCATGTTGAGAAGTGGCAGAGGCCAGGAGAATGGGGCCTGAGGTGGCAAGTAGATGACTTTGTATTGAATTCTGTATTTTTAGTCTTTGTGCTTTCAAAGTTAGGGGGAAGAAAAGTTCAGCTTCCCTTCCATCCCTGAATGTATACAAAAACTAGAGGCCCAGTGCACGAAATTCATGCAGGGTAGGGTTCCTAGGCCTGGCCCTCCATCAGGGCCCATTAGGGCCTTCCTGCTGCAGCCGGGGCCTGCCTTCGTCCACGCTGTTCCCTGGTGATCAGCGCAGGTCATGGTGAGCGGTGGAACTCCTGGTCTCCTGGTCAAATTCCCGAGGGGACACTTTGCATATTAGCCTTTTATATAGATTAGAGGTGGGCCCTGCTGGTGTGGCTCGGTGGTTGAGCGTGGACCTGTGAACCGGGACCTCACAGGGCATATGCCTGGGTCTCAGGCTCAGATCCCCAGTAGGGGGTATAGGAAGCAACTGATCAATGATTCTCTTCAATCATTGATGTCTCTCTCTCTCTCTCTTTCTCTCCCTTTCCCTCTCCCTCTCCCTCTCTGAAATCAATAAAAATACATTTTTTTAAATTAGAGGTGGGAAAACTGCCAGATGAACCTGCAGTAAGCCAGGTGAAAAGTAATGAGTCTGAACTAAAAGCAGCTCAGGAGGAATTTGAAAGAGCATGGTTTAAAGATGACATGGAAGCAGAATCTACAGGATTTAGCAATTAAATGGATTTACAGCCGAAACCGGTTTGCCTCAGTGGATAGAGCATCGGCCTGCGGACTGAAGGGTCCCGGGTTCGATTCCGGTCAAGGGCATGTACCTGGGTTGCGGGCACATCCCCAGTAGGAGATGTGCAGGAGGCAGCTAATCGATATTTCTCTCCCATCGATATTTCTAATTCTCTATCTCTCTCCCTTCCTCTCTGTAAAAAATCAATAAAATATATTTTTTATTAAAAAAATAAATAAATAAATGGATTTACAGCAAGAGGGGATGGCATGAAAACATATATGAAGAAGAAAAAGAAAAGTCAAGATAGTGAAGAGGTTTTGACTTTGTAGATAATCATAGAAAAAAGGAGTAAAAATTGCTTTATATATATATATATTTTTTTTTTTAATTAAATCTTCATTGTTGAAAGCATTAACATATGTCCCCTCTTTTCCCCCATTGCCCTCTCCTACCCTCCCGCACTGCCAGCCCCAGGCCTTCACCACCCTTATTGTCTTGTCCAAGGGTTATGCATATATGCATACAAGTTTTAGATTTGGCCATTTTAAAGGTTTGAAAGTCAGCCAGATAGAGATGGACACCAAGAAGTTAAATATAAAGGTTTTAAAATATGGGAAAGAGACACCTGGCATGTCTCAGTGGTTGAGCGTGGACCTATGAACCAGGAGGTCAAGGTTTGAGTCCCCATCAGGGCACATGCCAGGGTTGTGGGTTCGATCTCCAGTAGAGGGTATGCAGGAGGCAGCCAATCAGTGATTCTCATCATCGATGTTTCTATCCCTCTCTCCCTCTTCCTTCCTCTCTGAAGAAATCAATATAATATGTTTTTTAAAAAATAAGACACTATTCTTGTCCTCAGGGTGTCTATGTAGGCAGATAGCTGCATAATATATATAGAGAGAGAGAGAGAGAGAGAGAGATTGAACTAGAAAATAGGGAAGTTATCAGCCTACAGTTATATCATTGTAACAAAAAGAATAAAACAAAGGGCAGAATCTTAGAGAACATCCTCTTTAGAACCTGGTTACTCAAAGTGTGGTCAATAGCCCAGAGGCAATGGCATCACCAGGGAGTTTATTAGAAATCTCAGCCTTCCCCACCCCAGACTTGCTGAATCTTAACAAGAACCCCAAGTGATTTGTATCACATTAAAGTTTGAGAAGTTCTGACCTAGATGAGAGAAGCCAGTGTCAACAACAAATAAGTTTTTTTTAAAGGAGGGATCTAATCTAGATGAGAGAAGCCAGCAAAGAAAGAGGGAGAGAACTAAGATAATGCAAAATCTCCAAATCAAGGTAAATTGGCCATTCACAAAAGCAGGGGACGGAAGGAGTTTCCTTCCACAAAGATTGAAAAGTGCAAGGAAGGGAAGGTATGTTTCAATTTTGTGATTAAGTGTATAGTTACTAGGACCATGTTCTAACAGCTTGGAAACTGCCCCTTTGTGATCAGGGACAGCCTAGAAATCTAATCCCCTCCCCGCTCCATGCCCACCTATATAGGACATATTGAAGTAGGTTTGTGGATTTGATAGCAGAACAAAGTACTTCTTTTCTAGTTATTTCTATTTTCTCGGCGAAATAGAGAGCAAGATCATTTTGGCAGATTGCTAATTGTCCATCACAATTTATTCTCCTTCCTAGGCACATAGTCTTTTTTGTTTGTTTGTTTTTGTGTGTTTTTTCAGCCTCTCTTTCAGTTAGGTATGGTCAGGCTTTAAGTTGTTGCTAGTGAAATGTGAACAGAAATGATGTCTGCCATTGCCAGGCCAGTGTGCCTCCTTCATGCATTTTTTCCCTTTCTGCCAGCTGGATTATGCAGGTGACTACAAACTGCCCAGATTGACAGAGCCACAAGAAAGAAAGGTGCCTGGATGAAGGAGAGCTGCCCTCTGACCTGGAACACCCATTCTGGATTATTATGTGAGCAAGATATAAATTTAAAGAATGAGCTGAAAACATAAGAGATGGGTTGGAGAGCCGGAGGCTTGAAATTAAAATTAGAAGAGGGGCTGTAGTTACCGGTAATGTCAAGGTGTAGGAAATAATTGTGAAAGTAGGAAGCTGCAATTAGCAGGTGGCACAAATCATCTGAAGAGTCATAGTGAAGGAACTGAGAGGCAGGAAGGGGTATCACAAAGAATTATCCACTGGAGGTATAGTACCCTTGGAGTGGTGAATAGCCTTGGAGGGAGTGATAATGAGTCTGGTACTAAAATCTTCAAAGAATGAGGGGTTAAATGATCTGAATCAGGGCATTCAAGGCCATCAGTAACTTAATATGTTCGACAATTTGATGATAAGAGTTTTCATTTAAACAGGCACTTTAAAGTTTTATTGTACTAATGTGGGGTTTCTAATTGCTTCTCTTTGACCTCTCAGATTGCAGATGGTAACTGCTTTCTTTAAGAGGAAGTACCCATATGTCTGTATTATAAAACAAACACATGCCAGGCTTCCCAGTTTAAATGACTAGCTTTAAAATGTGTCAGACTACTGTTCTACCGCCAACAATTACCTTCAAAAAATGTGTCAAAAGTGATGCTAGCTTTGCCACATCAAATGATGTCTGGTAAATGTTCAAAATCTGCATGAAAACTTTAGATATAACTTAATAAACAGGGATTGACTAGAAACCTGACATTAAAACTATTAAGATTACCTGTAGTTTAAAAAATGATGTATCATATTGTATAGTGTAGAGACTCTGATGTCAGACTGCAAAGGGTTGAATCAAAGCATCTATCCTATGGGGTTATGGAGCGGATAAAATGTAATATTTATCATACATATAAGCACTTAAAGACTGCTTAGCACATACGCCCTGGCCAGTGTGACATAGTTGATTAAAGATTATCTTGTGTACTGTAAGGTCACCGGTTCAATTCCTGGTTAGGGTATATACCCAGGTTTCAGGTTCAGTCCCTGATTAAGGCGCATACAGGAGGCAACCAATCCATGTTTCTCTCTCCCTCTCCCTTCCTCTCTCTCTAAAAATGAATGAATGAAAAACCATATTTAAAAATTTTTCAAAGACTGCTTAGCACATATAAGCACTCAGTAGAGTTAGCTATAGTTATTCTATTGTTGTACTTATTCTTATGGAATTGCCTATAAGTATACTTGGACTTTTCCTACTTAAAAAATATGTTAATTTCATTACATCTATAATGTTAGGACCTAATAGTAAGACTTCTGGTTAAACATGGTGCATTGAACACACGTTTTTCTCCACTCCAGATCCCTCACTAAAATGACAGTGAAGGAATAAAAAGGTATAAACCCATTAAGACAAAGCAAATAGCCAAAACCGGTTTGGCTCAGTGGATAGAGCGTCAGCCTACGGACTGAAAGGTCCCAGGTTCGATTCCAGTCAAGGGCATGTACCTGGGTTGCGGGCACATCCCCAGGGAGGGATGTGCAGGAGGCGGCTGATCGATGTTTCTCTCTCATCGATGTTTCTGACTCTCTATCTCTCTCCCTTCCTCTCTGTAAAAAATCAATAAAATATATTACCAAAAAAAAAAAGACAAAGCAAATAGGAAGAGAGATTTCTGCTGAAGAAGGATGTCGACAAAACTTAGGAACATGGACAGCAGATGGTTGAGTGATAACTGGCTTACCCATACCAGGAAAGGGAATATCTAAGCTTCTGGGAAGAGGTAGAGCCAGCCAGGTGAACCTGTTTACATCACAGACCCTGGAAAGGTCTGAAACTGGAACTGCCACACCTCTGAAAGCAGACGTAGAGTGGGCTGCAAACCACAATTCATCATGAAAGTTTTATAAAGAAGTCAGATCCTTCATTCCCCCTAATCCCTACTCCATTCCATGCTGTCTTAACTCAGCAGAGGACGGGAGGGTTCCTCTCTGGAGAGGCAGACTCAGAACTCCCCTGGACATCAGGCAGGGCTGAAGACAGGGATGACTCTCTCCACAGAAAAGCTGAATTAATGAAGTTGTATATACTGAATTGTAAGCCATAACCCCAGCTTCATTCAGATGCTAGAATGCTGGGATCTTAAGCTTCCTCTTAGGGGAAAAGTAGCTGGTCCAAGAGAAAAGGCCTACAAATATTGACTTTGAGGGTCTTATAATGGAGAATGTGGCTTGTCACCTGTCTCTTTATAGTGAAGCCCAACAGTAGACAAGCCCTGCCCATATCAACAGAGGCTCTAATCAACTATTTATCATCTCATTCTTAAACGTGGGTGTATAGTCAAGGACCACCAGATAGTTGAAGAAACCCTCTTTCTTTCATGAAGGAAGAAAATAGAAATAAGAGAAGAAACCAAGGAAATAGAGCCAATGCAGAAAACAGAAAAAGATGTCAAAATGAAACAATTCTCAAAAGTTTTAATGCTAATGAAGCTACAGGAGAGAGGTATTCCACCAAAATAAGGGTATAAACTAAGAAACAAACACATAGGGCCTGGTAAACAGGAGCTCTGACAGAAAAAACAATGTGGCCGATGTGGCTCAGTTGGTTGGAGCATCATCCCATACACCAAAAGGTGGTGGGTTTAATTCCCAGTCAGGGCACATACCCAGGTTGTAGGTTCGATCCCCTGGGTGCTTACAGAAAGCAATTGATCAATGTTTCTCTCACACATTGATGTGCCTCTCTCTCTGTCTCTGTCTCTCTGTCTCTCTCTCCCCTGGGATGACAGTGAAGGGAAGTTCCAGGATGACAGCTATGTAGCAGGTCTTTAGAGCAACCAGTTTGTTCTGATAAAGGATGGAGGGCTCTAGAGGGGATGTCTCCAAGGGGGGAAAAAATCAGAACTGATCAATGGCCTGTGTTTGAACCTTGTGAACATATAAAGATGAAATGATGATAGGTACAAAGAAAACTAAGCAAACCCAAGAAAGAGGAGATTATAAACTACAGGTACGCTGTATGATTGTTTTAAGAACACTTGATGGTGCCTCTCTGGAGGAGAATTATACTTCCCTGCCCTATTGATGACAGACCTGGCAGTGTGAATTGCTGTGGCCAATGAAATAGGGGCACAACTCAATGTGTCCCTTCCAGGAAGAAGCTTCAGGAGCCATGTCTCTGCCCCTGCCACAAGATGGGCTGCCTCTGGCCATCTGAGTCCTGAGTGAAGACACCATAGAACAGAACTACAAGCTGACCTGCCACTGGACATGCAGTGTGAATGACAAGTAAACCTTTATTGTTGCAGTCTGCTGAGGGTTTTATGGAATTTTGTTAATGTGGCATAATTAACCTCTCCTGACTGATATGATAACATGGGATTTTGTGGACAATACATAATAGACATTAAAATATACATAAATACTTAATAATGTCACATAAACATATTGGGGAATTAGTAAATGGCATAAAATGGCTAAAACTGAAAAACTAAGACATGGCAATAGAAACGTGCTCTTTAGAAATGTGGAATTAAGCAGCAGAACAACAGTTTTCCTTTGGGAAGCAGTTATCAGTGATGACAGATGGAGCAGGGCCTTCTGTTTATTATGACCCTTGTAATTATTTGACTCTGAAATCAGATATTGTCGCCTTGAAAAAATTAAAAATTGCATATCTTTAAAAAATTAATGGCGAGAAGGAAAATTATAGCATTGTTTTTAATTCACCAAATTTAATACTGACCATCAATTATCCCACAGTAATACTACAATGTAGATACTAATACTACTAATACTAAGAACTAATTCTTAATATATAAAATTAACTCCAAGTTGACCCAAGACATAAATATAAGAGCTAAAACTATAAAACTCTTAAAAGAAAATATAGATGTAAATCTGCATGATATTAGATTGATTAAGTAATGGTTTCTTAGATGTGACAACTAAAGCGCAAATCATCAAAAGAAAAAATAAGATTTCATCCAATTTAAAAACTTTTGCAATGCAAAGGACACTATCAAAAAAGTAAAGCCTGGCCGGTGTTGCTCAGTGGTTGAGCTTTGACCCATGCAACAGGAAGTTGACCTATGGTTCGATTCCTGCCCAGGTTGTGGGTTCGATTCCCCATGTGGGGCATGCAGGAGGCAGCTGATCAATGATTCTCTCTCATCATTGATGTCTCATGTCTCTCTATCCCTCTCTCTTCCTCTCTGAAATCAATAAAAAAGAAAAAAATTGTTTTTTTAAGTGAAAAGACAACCCACAGGATGGGAGAAAATATTTGCAAACCGTATATCTGGTAAGGAATTTGTATTATACTATATAATGAACTTTTACAACTCAACTGGGACCTGGCCAATTAAACTGGCATAATCAGTTCTTTACATATAATTTCCCTCTTTATGGGAGATAGTGAACTTTTTAAATCTTACTAAGCGGATCTCAGCACTACTGAAGGTAACTTCTTCCAGAAAAACTGTTGTTAGTAGTGTTCCTCTCAGATTTATTTGTTCACAATCCAGTAGAATACTTAGGACTGTAGGTTCTACTACTCTTACAGTCTTCACTTTTTCTTTGATTTCTTGGTTATACAAGTCATGGATGCTTTGATCTAAAGTGACAGCTTATTCCTTAATATTGGCAGATATTTGCAAACTGAGGAGAATGAGCTTGTCTCAGGATGCTTATAAAGGAGAGACCACCATGGTAATGTCAGATTTAATTCTATTAATATACTTTTTGTATATAGTAGCTAAGAGAATCAACTGTCAAAGACTGACTTTTCTGTTAATTTGATCCCATAACTATACACGTACCAAAAAAATCAACTTACTGTTTTACAATTTCCTTAAGGAGAGAAAAATAAAGTTTTCAATATCTTAGTAATTAACTTATGGAAATCATTCTTTTTGGTTCACAAATTTGGTAATTGTTACTAAAGAAATAAGTAACAAATAGCCAAAAACTGATGGTTAAAAACCCCCTAAAGTCTGCCTGGCATGGCTCAGTGGTTGAACATTGAACAATGAACGAGGAGGTCATGATTCCATTTGAGGCATATGCCCAGGTTGTGGGCTCAATTTCCCAGTCATGGGCATGCAGAAGGTAGCCAATTGGTAATTCTCTCTCATCATTGATGTTTCATCTCTCTCTCTCTCTCCCTTCTTCTCTGAAATTAATAATATGTGTGTATTTAAAATCACTAAAACATATTCTTTTTTTAAATATATTTTTTATTGATTAAGATATTACATATGTGTCCCTGTCCCCACATCACCCTCCACCCCCCACCCCACCCCCGGTGTCCGTGTCCCTTGGTT